ATTTGAGCGTTTGACATGTGCCCCCGACAAATGCGGGCAGGAAAATGCACACACAGTGCTGTTTGCATAAATCTGCCATTTCAGCTCGGGTTGAGGGGGAACAGAGGGATAGAGGTGGGGGAATTATAGGACTCAGATGTGTGTGATTGGCGGTTCCCTTGGCTCCCAGGGTTAGAGAGTTCAGAGAAAAGCCGATTACTGCTCTCCCTCAGGTCAAGCCTTCATAAATAAACAAGGGGAGAGCCCAAGGCACCGTGTTTTAGTATGATTAGCATATCATACAGCCTATCGACAAGGCACTTATCATATTACAGCACGGCCGTCCTCTGAGCACACGGAGGTTACATGTACGGGGCTGGTGAGCATACATCTCTGTTCATTAGAAGGGTCCTCGGGGGAGAGAATAAATCATATCAGCACGTGGTTATGGCAGCGCAGGCGTTTGACTCCGCCGTAGAGCGGATGTTAACCAGGGCCTTTAATAAGCCGGAAAGGAGCTGACAGCTTCACACAGAGGAAGAGAGACCAGTGGAAATGACGGGGAGGTTTAGTGGGAGAGGAGTATACAAAGAGGCAGAGCCGTGGTACTTGAGAGTAATCTCTGGACCACTTTTCTGACACCTTAGACTTGTCCTGGTCCAGTGTATTTGGACCCAAACTCGCCTTGATCCTAAATACTTTTGGATCCTGACACAACCAGCTAAACGGCTGCCTGGACTGACCCTCTGCATTACAAATCATCCTATAACAACAGCCGCAAAGTTCTATGCATTTGGGCGGCAGTAGTTTGTTGGGACCTGGCTTGCGGGAACTGGAGTCTCGTGCCAAGCTCGGGGGGGCAAACTAGGAGCTTGAGAGGTACCAGTCCACCTCCTTTACACTACGGCAGTGCATTTGAGCATGGCACTGAACCCCCAGCTGCTCGGGGACCCATCCTATGAGGCAGCCCCCTCGCTCTAACACCTCTCCATACATCAATGCATGTATTTCAGGCCTGTGTGAAATAAATCTCTGCCCTAGAGGGATTAATAAAGAAGGCTTTCTTCTGCTTCTTCTCGATGGTTAGGTTATGGCCAATGTTAGACTCATGGATTTAGGTTTAAAAGTAAGGGGTTAGACTCATGCTGGAGACTGAAATACACAGCAGATATGTTAAGTGCACCCTGAACTGCCCATTCTGACTTTGAATGAGACTTGATCTTGGCCTTGACTTTTAGCTTCACTCTTGGACTTGCCGTTGGTCGTGGTCCTGGCTATCTGCAATTGGCTACCAATGAAAAAAATAACGCTTCTTTGGATGATGAAATTAGCCCAGAAGGAATTATGAGTGTGTCTTAAAACTGTGTCCATGATGGAGTGGAAGTCTCCCCGACTCTCAGACACGCTGCTGAGATTCCAATTTGGGCAAGCCTTTTCTCCTCAGCTACACAGGCTCAACTCACCAACCAGGGGCCACAATTAGCAGCTAGTCACTCTGACCAGGGAGAAAGAGCAAATGACATCCGCACCTAAGCCCTCCTAAGCCTGGGGAGCCGGGGCACCGAGCAGCCTCAGTGCTCTCCTCCCTCCATTCAAGCATGGCCTCTTTAGGTGGTCCAAACACTAGAGAGGGATGGTATATTTTGACTGTTATTAGCACTGTTTAGCCTCCCTCCAGGGGGCGGGAGTGCCGGGGATGACCAGCTGAGTGGATATACAGTAGGCTATGAGAAAAAACGCAGAATATTGGTTGGGTGTTTTTCATGTCTTTTCACGGTGATGGCACAAAGCTGGGATCAGTCTGGGTGCCGTGTCACCTGGATAATCACATCCACCACTGGCATGGATCTTATGCCAAGGAGGGGGACGGCGGACAGGAGGAGCATTTAGTTTCAGACTTAATGTTTGAAAAAGACTTGTCCTAAATGGAGTCTGGAGGTTTTTTTGTAAAAAGTATATACAGTTCAACAGAAGTATCAGCTTGATCCTCATGACTGTTTGGGAATTTCAATGTGTACATTTCTCCCTGTATACAGCACAATACTAACATATTTTTAGAAATCATCCCGCTACATATCTACCATGTGTATGTGTGTGTGAACGTGTGCATTCACGTTCCTAAGTGATGCCATCCCCTCGCGCCCCCCCCCCCCCCCCCCCCCCCCCCCCCCCCCCCCCCCCCC